TGCAACTACAGGTAAGGATAGAGAATCTTATTAAAGTCTACTCATGTTTACCCTAGTTCAACTATTTAACCACTCTTTCTCAAATGGCAAAAATGTACATAATACTTTGTCTCATTAGAAATAAGTCCTGACAGAGTTAGAAACTTTTCTGAAGGCTTTAGAACAGTATTTTGCTTTCTGATGAATCCATACAAAGAATAAGTTCACACAACTACACATATTTATAAATTATAATGAGATTTTTCAAGGCTAAAAAATACTAATAAAGGACTTAGTCCACAGTGAACTAGGGACCTATAATAAAATGAACAGAATATTAACTCAAGAAATTTATTGGGTGCAAAAGAAAAAAGATTTTGGGTTAATAATAAAATAATGAATAAATGGAAGATGGAGAAGGTTGGGTCTAAAATTTAGAAATTTTCCAATACAGCACATAATCATATAGACATCAATCTTCTTGAACAGACTGCTGTTTCATGATCAGTGTTTACAGAGATTCCTGTATGCAGGACTATGTCTATGCAAACTGTGAAAAGCTGTGAAAGCTGTGAAAAGATGGAGTACATCTTTAGCCACATAAAGTACTGATTCTTTTCTCTGCACACTTTCTCCCTGTGCTTGGATGGCAGCAAAACAGGCAAAGGACAAGACGTTCCTCAAAAGAGTGAATTCATGCTACAAAACTACTTTGAGCTAATAGCATTCTAAAACAAATTCTACTACACAATTGCATACTATAAAAAGCAAATTTTTTAAAAATGTAAGACTGAAGAGATTCTCAGACAATACAAACATATAAAAAATTTAGCTATAAAGATGTTTATTACATCACTTTTTTAACAGAAAAAAAAATCAACCATCTAAGAATAGGGTAAGATTAAGTACATTATTCTTCACCCGAAGAACAGAATACTATGCATGCTTTTGACATGGAAAGATTTCATGATAGAGAAAATCAAGGAAAGGAGTTATAAAACTATTATGTTATTTTTATAAAAATGACATATATCCGGGCCAGGGATTTAGCTCAGTGGTGTCACACCTGTCTCTCAAGTGCAAGGATCCTGTACCTCATCCCCAGTACAGGAAAACAAATAATATATATCCAATACATAATACATATACAAATATATAATATCCAAAAAATAAATGTTCATAATTCTATGTGAATATTGGAATTTCCTAATTAATAACACAGCTTACTTTGTTAATAGGAAACAGAATCACATTAAAGTATCCTAATGCCAAATAAACCATGGAACATACCCAAACCCATCCTATAACTCATCTCATAAGCCTCTGATAGGTCTTGTAACTCATTATTGGCTGTATACTGTTCTCTGGACCTCTCCTGACTTCCCATTAGAGAAATTTATATTTACTAGAGCCACACTGGATGTGGCTTAATACAATACCTCATGCTAAAGCAGAAACTAGTGATAAGAATGAATTGTGCTTTAATATTCACAGGCAGTACAGATCAGAGGAAAAGAGTGCCTGTTTTGCAACACAGTCCTGGGCTCAGCTTCAGGTTCTGCTGATTATCTGTGTGGTCTTGAGCAAATAATATCACTCTTTTAGGCTGCAGTACTCTCATCTGTAAACTGGAGATAATAAAAGTACATGACCCCAGAGGGTGATGGTGATAGTAAGAGGGCATCTATAAGCTGCACTGTGCTTGACATATACTAAGTGCTTTGTAAATGTTAGATGCTATTTAGATTATGGCAGGAACTCCACATAAACTCCTAAGGATCATTTTTTTAGTGATTTAAGGACAGTATTACAGATTTGTGGTTGGCTAGTGAAAAAGATGCTATATGCTGGAGATTCTGGCAAGAGGTAAGAGGTCTTGAACATAGAGGTCATTTATTTCTCATTAAGAATGTCACTAACACTCATGCTATTGGCTCACAAGTATGAATCATTTGTAAATGTGTATGAACAGTAGGTGTGTTCCAAGCACAGATAAAGGCATATGTGCAAAGTGTCCATGTTTGTAGGTAGAAGTGAATCTATGTGAATGTTAGAGAATAAAGCTCCTTGCCATGACTGTTAACTGGAGATGCCCTGTGGATATATTGAGCTTAGTGAAGAAGGTGTGTATAATAAAGACAGAACATCTACCAAATTCATTCCTGATCAACCCTGGTGTCAATCACATGATACATGTCTAATGTTGTTGAACAGTCCAAATGGATTTGTGACTGGTTATGAATGAGCAGAAGAAAAAGATTTACACTAGTAAGATGAGGAATGTGGTCACATCAGGCCACAAATATAGAATAGGATAAAGAATGAAAGGGGTAAATCTATCTGAGAGAGGTGGATTTAGACAATAAGGCAGAGTCCACTGGATTAAAAAATTATATCTAAAGCTTACAAGGCCCTAAAGGGTATGGTGGTGAACCCAAAGAAAAGGTAGAGAAAGTGGTAAGCCTTAGAAGGAGAAAATTATGTTGAAGGTGAAGAATGAGGAGAGAAGTTTGCAATGGCTCAGGTGAAAAATCACTAGAGTAAACCAGAATCACAACTATCTCAGAGCAGAGAAGGAAGTCTTAAAGGAGGGATATCTATACTAACGGATGGATGTCCATGATCATTACCAAAAAATCCCTCTAAGATTCAAACATTCAAGGATAGGTGTGGTGGCACATAACTGTAATTCCAGCAGTTGGGAAGCTGAGGCAGGAGGATCACTGCAAGTTTGAGGCCAGCCTGGGCTACAAAGATTTAAACATTTAGAAAATGGAAATAATATGTAAAAGAGATAAATTTTACATGAAAGCTTGATGTTCAGAGCAAATGAAAAAGCCAGGAAACAAAGATAATCTTTTAAAACTCTAGTGGTCAAAGACCAAATGGCTTCTACAGGGGACCCCTTAATAGATTCTAAAAAGAATTTTGATGGTTCTAGTTGTACCATCTGGCTTGCAACTTGCCTGCAGAGCTTGGACTAGGAAAATCGTATTTTTGTGTTCACCTGCTTTGGGCACAGAATCAGTTTGTAGTGACTCAATATCAAGCTGGTCTCTTTGGGCTGTTGGATTTAGTATAAGAATCACTGCACATCTCCTTGGTTCTCTGTGCACAAAATTAGTACGTTCTTCCTATTATAAGTCAAGGTTACATAACTCTTACTGGAACCCAGGGTTCAAACATAACCATAAAGACTGGCCAAGCTACCACAGTGAGCTCCCTCTGAAAATCATATCTTATAGGTAAGGTCAAACTGGGATTCTGCTCATAGACTTCTCCATGTGCCATACAATAGTTGAATTAACTATAGCCACTTCCTTATTCAGCAACCTATTCTAAAAGAAGCCACACAACTCTTACATCTAACCAAGAGTATCTGGAAGATAAATTAGTGGAGATAGATGAATCTTTTGGTAAGAGAAATTAAAATTTATATTTTCCTTTGTGATTAAACTAGTTTTAAAGGAAATTCTAATGCTTTTATCCTAAATATAATCATTTGATTTGCTGTTACACTAAGAAAACCACTTTAAAATTGCAGTTTAGTATTCTATCTTCCTATAGTTCTTTAGGCATTACAGTACTATATTTAATCTTGTTTATTCTCCTATTGTTTTAGGATACATATCAAAAGCCACCATATTCCCATTTTATAAATTAAGTAACTGACTCAAAAAAATTAATAACTTGTCCAAAGGGCATGTAAAAGACATCAGAATGTCCAGAAAGCAGAAGTGTTTGGTTCCTGGATCAGGATATTTTTTTAGACTAAAGCACATCACTCATTTTGATTTTTTAAAAACTTTCTTAGAAAAGCTACTAATTAAGGAATGCAGTATTTACATATGCTACAACATGGGTGAATTCACAAATAATATGCTAACACACAAGTGATAACACATTGCATGGTTCTCTCTGTATGAAATGTCCAAGAGAAGCAAATCTACAGAAAGAGAAAACAGCATCAGTGATTGGTGGGGGAGGGGTGGGAGTGGAAGGAAACTATTACTGGCTACAAAGTTTCTTTTGGGGGTGATAGAAATGCTCTAATAGTAGATGATGGCATTGGTTACACGACTCTGTAAATATGTAAAGCTCATGTAACTGTACACTTAAAATGAGTGAATTTTATGACATATACATTATATCTTAATAATGCTGTTTTAAAAAAATTCAATTAGGTTGTTAAAACATTACATCCAAAATAGTTTCATTAAAACATGTGCATATTATTTATTATACCAAACAGCTTACTTTTTTTACATAGAAAAAATTTGAAAATTGGTAAAATAAATTTAAGGAAAGATATTAATACTGAAATGATTTACCTGAACTCTGTTTTCCAATATTTGTGACTGCTGACAAAAAGTAAAGGACACTTTATTCTACCTGGTGGAAGGAAAATCACTTAAGTGGACTGATTTGTGGGTCACAATGAGCTCTGAGAGAAGTATTATCAATTGAGATAAATTGGACATTTTGGAAGTAGTATTAGTGTGAACTAAACATAAAATTACAAAACTTATGTAAATCAATCTTTTAAAAGGGAGCAAAGAATTTAGTCTTCAAATTTCTATTTTATATGTTTACTTTCCTATGAAAAATTAAACAGCAGTAAGGACTAGGCTGCTATTTACAACCTATTATTTATTTTAATGCCACTATTAAACTATATGAACCAGGATTAACATATGTATTTAAATTTTAAGCATCTATATTTCAGAAGAGAAGGAGAAAATATGGGGTAAATACAGTTAAAAGGGTTTTTGTTATTGTTTGTTTTCTTTTTTTGTTTTGTTTTGCTCAAGAATACTATTGTTCAAATACCACACAGACTGTTTTACAGCAGATATTCATTTGCCAAGCTTCAGATGGCAAAATGCTAAGTTGTGAATTTGGTATTGTCCAGCGAGTTGTTTCTCCCTGCTCTGGAGACTGGTGGCATGTGCTGCTGAAAAGTCACCCTGCTGCCACTCTCTTCTCACAGTTGGATCCACTAGGAAGCATCATTCATGTCCTTAAGATGCAAGGCTGAGCAGAAACCCTCCCACAAATCCACTGGATATCATGATGTTCTGTTTGATGAATTCTGTTGCTTCTTCGATTACATTGTTGAGTTCAGGTGCTGCTCTATTTGCTCGTTTCTTAATCTGTCTTTTTGCTTTGTTTACATCTTTTTCAACTCTCTTGCAGTCGATCTGCACATAGCCACTATGACTGGCAATCTGTAGGAGAAGAAAGTCTCCACCTACTGCTGTTGCTGCAAGTTTTCCAACTTTCTGGAACAAAAATCCTGCACACCAGCCAGTCACGCCACCCATTACAATTTGGGTAGCTACTGAGTATTTTTCTACCATAGGTCCTGATCGATTCCACCAGTGATGTCTTCTTGCATACTCTGTTAAATTCAACACTTGGTAAGAGTCATCATCACTTTCATATTCTTGCGGAGGGGGTTTCTGGGACGCCATGATACTGCCGGCGGCCAGTTCTGGGGTGGTCCGAGCCCACCCTCCTCTCCCCTGCACTTTTTTATTGTTTGTTTTCTTGCAGTACTAGGTACTAGGGATTGAACCCAGGGCTTTTGCACTGAGACAAGGTCTTACCTATTCCTTAAATTTTCTGGGCTGAGCTCAAATGTGCAATCCTCCCTCAGCTCCCCAGAGTGCTAAGGTAAAAGTTTTTATTTTAGAAAAATAATGATCATAAAAACTATATAGTTGAATCAAAGTTTAAATTGTTCAATGATTGTTTAAAAGAAAAAAGTAATAAAATGTTAAAATGATTATTTATTTAACTCTGGAAACAAGAAAATGGCATCAGAGCTAGAAAAGGGTTTTGAGGTCTTAATCTGACTCACCTGTTACCTGAGCATGGACACACACTGAGGACAGATGGCATGCCAGGGTCACCTGACTAATGTGGGGGAGGGTCACCATCTGATTCTTGGCCTAGAATGCTTTAATTAACAACACATTGGTGGGAAATATGGGATAGGGGAGGGCTGGACAGTTAAAATGGAAAGATAAAGTTAATTCTAAGAGATTTCTAAAAGTAAAAGATGTGGATATATAAAATACCAGAATATTTAAAAATGTATATAAAAAACAAAATGATGATAACTATTCAATTCAAGATATAAAGAAATATGTTTCATGATGGTCAGAAAAGATTGTAACACATTAACTAATTTGTTAACAAAGAGAATCTTGGGCCGGGGATTTAGCTCAGTGGGTCCGCACCTGCTTTGCAAGCACAAGGTCCTGAGTTCAATTCCCAGTACTGCAAAGAAAAGAAAAAGAATCTTTTTTTTTTTTTTTTTGGTCCCGGGGATCAAACTGGGGTCCTTTCGCTTGCACAGCAGGCAGTGAAACCACTGAGCTAAATCCCCAGCCCGAGAATCTTAAAATAAGGAACAACTGAGAGTCTGAATAACAAGTCGCTACATAGAAATTCAAATGAATTAATGCTAGAAGGGAAGTTTATTATAATATGTAACAGTCAAAGTTGGTTCTACAACCAACCAGAGAAGCTGGTAAAATGGTTTTAGGGAGAAATATAAATACACAAATGCTTAGAATTAGATTTAATAATATTAATTATAACCTATTTATAAAGTTTATCTTTAAGTAAATTTTAAAATTTTCTATTGTATTCTTTAAACAAACTTTGTTTCTTAAAAAGATGTGAGGGAGGAAATTATAAAGATCAGAGCAGAAATCAATGCAATGGAGACTAAGAGAATGATACCAAAAATCAACGAATCAAAGAGTTGGTTTTTTGAAAGAATAAATAAAATCGATAAACCCTTAGTCAACCTTATCAAAAAAAAGGAAAGAAAAGGCTCAAATCCATGCAATTAGAAATGAAAAAGGTGAAGTCACAACAGATCCAGCAGAAATCCACAGGATCATCAATACCTACTTTGAAAATCTGTACTCTAATAAAATGGAAGACACAGAAGAAATGGACAGATTTCGAGATACATACGAATTACCAAAGTTGAACGAAGAAGATATAAAAATTCTTAACACCCCAATTATAATGAGTGAAATTGAAAATGTAAAAAAAATTTACCAACAAAGAAAAGCCCAGGTCCTCATGGCTTCATTGCTGAATTCTATGAGACATTTAGAGAAGAACTATTGCCACAACTCTTTAAACTTTTCAATGAAATTGAAAGGGAAGCAATACTTCCAAATTCATTCCTGGAAGTAAGTGTTACTTTGATTCCAAAACTAGGGAAAGACCCAACCCAAAAAGAGAACTACAGGCCAATCTCCCTAATGACCATAGATGCAAAAATCCTCAACAAGATAACTGGCAAACAGAATACAGAGGGTCATCAAGAAGATCATACACCCTGACCAAGTCAGATTTATCTCAGGGATGCAAGGATGGTTCAACATATGTAAATCAATAAATGTAATACACTATATTAACAGAGCCAAGGACAAAAA